TGGGTGTTTGGCAATACTCAAAATAGCTGTTAACCAAAAATTTAATTAATTAAAAATAATATTAAAAGAATTGTTGTTGTTGTAGTTTACTACTTTTCGAAACCTTTACAAAATAAAAAATCAAAATTGAATATTACTAATTAATAAATATGAAAATATAACGAGATATATAAAAAAATCAACGAGTAACTTTTCAACATACTAAAACTCTTTTTAAATAAAATAAAATAAAATAAAATAAAATAAAATAAAATAAAATAAAATAAAATAAAATAAAATAAAATAAAATAAAATAAAATAAAATAAAAAAAAAAAAAATAAAATAAAATAAAATAAAATAAATTAAAATAAAATAAAGACTAAAATAAGGAAGGTAGTGGTTGGGTTTTAAAACTATAAAATGATCACAATTATAATAACTAATTAAACACTATTATCAATTCTGTAAACGTATTGAAAAATTTTTGAATTTTTGGCTGACCATACAGCTGTTTCGAGTAAAGCCAAATACTCATCATCAGTGGTCTTGGACCTATTTCTTGTATTTAATTAATCGTGAATAATTTTTTGAGATTGCAAATTCCAAGGGTTAAACTCATACCCTGCCAAATTTGAAGTTCAGAGTCAGCGCACCTTAACCTACTGACCTAAAGCCATACTTGACTTTTATGTTCGCACATTTTTCTGAAGTTTTGTTGCTGTATCAAATGTTTGCTGTAAAAGTTTATTAACAAATTCACTTGCTGTGTTATATTGGAACGAAATTATAAACCAGCTGTAGAATAATTGAATTTATTAATTATATTCATATATTTTCTTTGCTTTTATATTATTCTTTCTGATCAGCGAAAAATTCAATTAATTAAAATTATATTGAAAGAATTTTTGTTGTAGTTCACTACTTTTCGAAACATCTCTACCAAATACACTAATTTCTATTCAGTAAAATAATTAATTCCGTCATAACTAACGTTAAATTATCTATGTTGTTGTTGTTGTGATTTGAGTTAGTACTACTGCGCACTTTTATTCTTTTGTGGCTGAGGGGTTTACCCCTGCCCCACACCAAGCTTTAACTGTACTAGAATCATTATCATTTATTTATCTTCTAACTGATGACGGACCGTAGATCAGCATATCTTCCTGTGCGTCCTGTGGTGAACTAAAGGTTAGTTAGGGCGGGGTTGGGCAACGTATCAACTTTTGTGAATAATTTTAGGGCTCCGTCCTTGATATATTTTTTCACTGAGTCGATTCTTAGATCTTTATACATGTCTGTTGTTCTAATGTGCCAAGGAATCTTAATTATTTGTAATTGCTATTTGTAATTGCTTTATGGCAGTATTTGAGGCTTTGCTGTAAGTTACACATCAGTACAGTAGTGCTGGCTTAATTATTTGTGTATATAATTTTCTACATAAACTTTCTATTTTTGAGGTTGAAGTGATTATTATTATACAGCGGCTTAAGACTAACCTTAGTGTATATTATTAAATTATTTGATAATAAAATTATCAATTATTCAAATGATATTTTTATTGAATTAGTATGTAAACCAAAATGTCAAAAACAATTTCAAAAAAATTTATTAAAAAAAGTTATTATAGCTGCGTTCTGATTTTAATCAAATGACATTATTGTATTTCATATATTTAAAAAGACATATTATTAAAAAATTCTTATTAAAATAAAGAAGGATAATTTTATTGTATTAATTTCTTTATTAACAACATAAAAAAAAACCAAAAAGTGTATTATTCAGAAGACATACTAGACTAGAAAAAATATAAAGAAAAATATTTTTAATTAACCGCACAATAAACGTCCAACAAAAAACGTGTCTAACAAATACTTGAGTAAAGCAATTAACAGGTTAATATTGATATAAGAATATTATCCACGTAATCTTAACCCAATGTATTCTATTCATAGTAGGTAGATTGCATGTGAAATATAAAATATCACAGAGAACTCTACCTTGGGACACTTCTGCACTGATTTTGGTGGCAAAAGGAACTGAACATTTTCTGCAGAACGTAAGTTTTTTTTTATTAATACCTTGTTAAAAATCTGATCCAACAATTTTGAGAGTGTTGCTGTAATTGTATATAAAATATCGTCTTACTATACTCAGGCAATCGGAACTAGTCTTACAATGTTATAAGTATAAATAGGTTAGGTTAGGTTGATATCAGCTCGCGCCATCTCAGTTATCAGCACTTCCATTGTGATTATGCCGGACTTGCTAACCTTTGTTATATTCTATTCTTGTTAAACAATTTGGTTTTCCAGATGAAGTTGTGAAGATCCAATAAGTTGGCTACTTAAATAAGTATAAACAAGTAATTAAAGTGCATAACGGCAATGTAAATTGACATCTCCTGAAAAGATTCGCGGCATAATCTAAGGAAACATATTGGGGTTGCCATATTTATTAAAGGCTTATGCTATCTCGATAAATATATAAATTTTTATATTATTAAATCTCATAATTTCCATAAATCGGAAAGTTAGAATATCACATAATAGCATTCAGAATATATAATAAACGCTTTAAGGCAATATTAGGATTTAGAATAAGTGGTAGTGAAAACAGCTCTTCATGAAGTGATCGGCACCATTGACAGGTCAATTCCTGGATATCGAGAAAGCCTATAACAACAGAAACACGAAAAAAATTCCAAAGGCGCTAAGGGAAAAAAGGTCGAAGGCTTCATAGCGACATGGATCAGCACAATTCTTCAAAACAGAGTTATAAACGCTGCAATGCTATGATTCTGAACAGAAAAACTTCCATTAGGCACGTCAGAAGAAAGGTACACTTCTCCTTTTCCGTTTCTAAGATGTGCATTACGTTAGTACAACAACATTTGGAAAACGACACCAATTAGCTATTGTGTCTGTTGGCAGACATTAGTCAAAAAATGCAATCAGTTTCGTATTGGGCAAGTGAAAAGACTAACGTACTTGAGTTTTTCCGAGGCATTCAGAAGTGCTTATTAAGAAAACCTGAATATATTAATTCATCTTTCATCGCTATGGGTGTGTATAAAAGACTGTATTCTAAAATTATAAAAAACTAGGGAATAGAAACCAATCAATTATGAATACTATACAATTTTGGATAAAATTAAAAGGAAGGGACGTGAGTAAATTAAAATTCCATAGGGTTGAGTTACTAATTACCATATCAGAGAAAACTGAGTTTCGGGATCTGTGACATGTAACCGTCCACATAGATGGTTTGGGAAAGTAGCCAGGCAAATACAAGCTAATACAATCAGCCCTTTCAATATCAATACCTTTGTAGAAAGTCAGGCAGCTATGAATCAAATTCATGACGATTTAAACATCACAAACACTCCCTCTGCTGTTTTCCTGGACAATATTGAAAGGACCAAGAAAGCAGATGAGTTGTTCAGAAGAAGTTCTGAAATGCATATATATAAATAAATAGCTCACCGACACAAACCTTGTTTCTGTGAACTGTGTTCATAGAAAAATACACTATCATGGTAGCTAATGGTTTGTAGACTAATAACAAAGATTGCAAGATGAGTGCAACTGTATGACCTAAATTCAAAAGGAATGAAATGAAAAGCCTTTTGGGTTTCAGCAAAAAACCAGTTCGATTACTTACTTGGCTTACTGGGATAGTTGGGTACCCCAATTCGCGAATTTACTTGGGTACATGTCATGAAATTCTGATGACGTTTTCAATTGGTAAATCTGAAGAGCAATTTTTAGTTTCGGTTGGTAAATCTTTCTAACACTAAAGATTAATCTATAACAACCGAGATTAATTTATAACACTTTAGATATTTTACCAAAGTATCAGGATTACAGGATTATTTAACAGCTGGTTTATATGACTAAACTAATCAACTCTGATTTGATTCGATATATAATATGTATTTGTGAAAAATATAAATATCTGTTAAAATAACTACAAAAACTTTGAATTACTCTAAAAATGTTCGATCGGGTAACAAAATTTGACAGATTCAGAGTAAATCTAGATTAAATTCAGATTTACCTATCGAAAATGACCATTACTAAGCAATAATTTTTTTAAAATTTATAATAATCTGTCTATTGTCCAGAATTAAGTTACAGATCTAATAACTGAGGTAATATCATTGGTTTATGGTATTAAAATCATAATAATATCTGCCATTTCCGCTTTGACATAATTATCGTGCTATATACACGTGGGCCAAAGTATTTCCTAGTAAAAACATGGTGCATTGCGTATAGAATGAAATACGGGTTATGATCATTAAACCTTGGTATCAAATATAAGCAATATAAGACATTATATTTTTCAATAACTGTGTTAGATATTACTAATAACTAAATATTTTTCTATTATAAATACGAAACTATTTTACTTTCCTCGTATCTGTGTGTGTTGTGTATTGTACCTATAGATGCAAAAGCACAGTAAACGAAGTGAGAATGTATTATCATATCAACTTACACAATAATTGTAATTAAATAGCAGAGCGTAGAATAAAAAATTCACAAAAATTGTTTAAACATAATTGACACAGTTTAGGTATGACAAAGTAAAAATGAGATACACGTGCGACTCAAATTATACGATTAAATACAATAAGCACATTTGAAAAATAATTTAAAAATTTTTTAAGGTAAACATATACAATTTGATGGTGAATTTTAGCCAAATTATTGATGTGGGTGTGCATATGTATGAACAAAAATATAAATACAGTGAACGTAACACAGTGTATTTATTTTCAGCACTTGAATTTTTGAAGTACACGTAACGTAAAAGAAGAAATACAATTTCTAACATTTATACAAATAAACTAAAATGCTTTAAAATAGATTTTAAATCTTATAAAATCATTTAAGATTTAAGTTCAATATATTGTATATGAAAGTAATGTATTCGCCTTAGAGTGAATTGTTCATGAGTGACTCAATAATCCAAGGTTTTGCAGACAAACAAATCCATTCACGTTTCGAGAACGACACAAGCAACAGATACATTTTTGCACTTTGACTACAAAAGGCAATCAACAATTGAACCTCAAATCCAAACGACAACGAAACCAACAACAGCTCAATAACGATATTTACTACATTTACGTTACGTTGTGTCACGCTACGATACGCCAATGTAAACGTAATTTTCATTCATAAAATCGAAAAAGGCAGCAGTGCGAGTACGAGTCATCGAGTCATCGAGTCAGCGAGTCGACTCCTACACTTTACGAACTCGGCTGCATAAGCACCGAGTGTTAGTATTGTATCTTGTATCTGACTTATGCCATATATGAATGAAAGTGTGTGGAATATATGTACGTACATGTACATGTAACTAAGTATGCAACGTATATGGTACATGTGACCAAATTTGCGGCATCCGTTCTAGCTTAATGGTGGAACTATGTGGTTTAATTCAGTTTTTGATTTTGTCGCAATTATTGTGGGCAAGTAGAAATAATTGAAAATAATTTAAATTTTATGAGAACAGAAATTAAAAAATTAATAATATATGATATAAAGATGATTTTTTTTAGAAAAATTTTATGTCAATTAACTAATTGACAGTGCAGTAAATTTTGTTTAACAATTACAATTACGATACTATAAAATTATTATTATTATTTTATAGCACTTAAATTAAAAATTCTTTTAATTTTTATAGTTCTATGAAGTTAAAATATTGAATTTTCAAATATTTAATAGTTGCCAAGACAAATACAGATACTATAACAGATACAGATACGAATCCATAGGAAAATATTGTCTGATATTGATTTTAAATCAGTCATCTCATTAATTCATCATTATCAACAATCCTTAGAAAATTTAAACGTACCGCAAGAGAACTGTATATTCTTACTGAATTTTTAGCTTTTCTTTACTATATCTATTCTACTAAATAGCCAAATAGTTATAAACAGGCTACCAGCTCCCAACGGAGCGGAGCACTGCGACCATAGTTAATCTTTTGTGCTGTGCTGTACTCAACAGCAAAGTTAAACCAAAATTGTTGTCAGCTAACTGCATTAAAAATGTTACAATTAGAAAAAACAATAAAACAAAATAACAGCTAACTGGACTAAAAAACTTAGATATTAGAAAATAAATTGAAGAAAAATTTTGTTAAAAACCTTATTTTAAAATAAAATAACGAGCTTGTTTAAATAATTAAATTATGAAAAGCATTCATTTTCTCCGTGGAATATATTAAATTAAATGTTAATTATAGGCGTTTTCTTTTGTAAACATATCACAAAAGAACAACCGCTTATTTTAAAAATAATATGTGAAACAACAACACTGCTGGCTTAATTAGTCCAACTTTTTCGAAACCGCTTAACAAATAATCAGCTCAAATTGCATGGTTGCCAAGACCAAGACTAAAAATTCTTTTATTATGAACGATTTTTGAAGATACATACAAAATTTCCAGTTAACTGTCAATAAATGTTTGACAAATAATACTTCTTGATTCTTGATTCTTCTTCTTCTTCAGTTAGTGCTATTACGCACTTTTACTCTATAATGGTTGGGGGGCTTATTTGTACCCCACACTAGGCTTTAACTAGGCTAAAAAAAAAATCATATCATTTATTTGTCTTTTAGTTGATGACGGACCTTAAATCAGCATATCTTCCTGAGAGTCCAGAAGTGGACTTGAGGATTGTTAGGGCCTAAAAATACAAATTTTATTCACAGTCATTTAAAAAATAAAATATTTTTGCCCATAATTGTAAGGAATTCTTTTTCGAAACTTTAACATTAAATTTTTTTAAGTGTATTGCATATGTAAGCCTAACAAAATTTTCGGTTGTTCCAGAATTGCTATCAAAAATAGTGCTTTTTTTATGTTGTTCATTTGCAATATGTTTACGAAAGAAAAGGCCTAATACTGAAAGAATATCCCTTTAGTAAAAGATGTGCCTATTTCTTTTACTATCTTGACTGACTTTCCTCGTTCGTTCTTACTACTCCTATTTCTACTCGCTTTGTCATTATATACCCTTTCTTTCATTGTTTCTCTCTCGGCCTTCTTAACTCTACGAGTATATAATATTGCAATTAGTTAGTTAAAATTTTAGTTAGAATAAAATCTGTGCTGTTCAATGAAAACAAAGTCCTGTTAAAGAAATTCCTAGTTAAATCTATTTGGAACTATGTAGTACATAATGAAGTACAGTCAACTATTCAATTATTGAAACCATTCGAGGGTTTAAAGCAAAGTTAATCTGATAATCAGGTAATCAGATCAGATTCCCGTGGTTTGTATAAAATTAAACTATTCAAATTTGAAATTTGAAGGTATGCTATGTTCTGAAAAAAATGAAAGGTTTCAATAAAAATTATTTGGTTTTCATTTCATCAAAAGAGCTGAATATTTTTTTACTATACATAATTTTTTTTTAATTATTATTTATTCAATTGCGCCTAGTTAAAAATAAAATCTAATTTGATATATTTTTATATCGAGACTATCTAAACTGATAGTAATTCGCTAATTCGAATTACTACTCGTATCATAGCTTTTCGTTCATACTACACCAATTGCTGTTCGTTCTTGCATCAATGTTTTTTTTCTAAAGACCGCAAAATTTACCCATTCACTTTGCTTCTATTTCAAATCATAGTTATCAAGAATTCTATATCTTCATCGAAATCGTTTAAAACTAAAAGAATCTTTGAATGGTGTTTATATTCAGCGTCTTCATTGAGCTCTTGTAAAACGAAAGTGATCATTGAGCGTGTGATTAACCATATTTTTATGTTGAAGCTATTTGAGCCAATGTACTCTTTCTTAACTTGAAGTATTTTCAAAACCCAACTTTACGCCTTGGCTGGATTATTGTTTATCACTTCATTAGACTAAGCAATAATTGACCTCAGATCCGCATACCTCCCCAAGGAGCCTGTAACCATTCTGAGATTTGATAACGCGGTGTTGGTAAGTCTGTCAGTTTTCGCAAATAATTTCAGGGCTCTATCCTTTATGTATTTTTTGATCGGATCAATCTTGAGGTCGCTAAGGATGTCATTCGTCCTAATGTACCATGGTACTTTGAAAAGTTTTCTCAGCTTGTTCAAAATCATATTTGTATAATTCTTTAAAAAAGAAAATTGAATTTGATAATTTGAGGAACCGAAAGATAAACTAATTATATATTCTTTAATTTATAACTATTATTATTAATTTTTGTTATATGCAAATTATGTTAACTATGTTTGGAGAGGTTTAAGTTCACAAGAATTTAATGACGAGTTTACCCAGAACTAAGATCTACACATTATATATTTGTTCTACTATTCCATTTAAAATAATTTATATCTGCATCAAATAATTAAAATGTTAGTTATGATTGCAATAATATTTAATTTCTACATATATTTGTTGGTGTGACTTGTCATCATATTTCAATGGCAATTCGAGAAAACCCAATTTCAATAAATTAAACCGAAAATGAAAATGTGTGCAAATCGTAATTATAAAATTAAATTTCAGAAATAAAAATTCGAAAAAGTATTTCATATTGCAAAATAAATAAAAATTATTTATTATATTAATACTTTTAATTGCCTGCGAGCGGTACACGTTAGTCGATTTGGTGTGAAAAGGGGGGAATAACTCTAAATTTATTGTAGTTACAATGAAAACTGTTTCACACTTGCAAAATGGAAAAAATGGAAAAAATGAAATAAACTACTGAGGAAAAAAAAAACCGAAAAGTATTTTTGAACAGCCACGCGCAACCGAACTCATGGCCTCCTCACGGTGTGCTCCAAATACCAAAATTCGCGAATTTCACTATCATAAATGTTGCGCTGCTGTTATTATTTATATCTTTTTTACACTTTTTCACATTTTTTACTTTTGAAATACGATATGCGAAAGAAAAGTTTTAATTTGTTGTCTTTCATTTTAGTTTTTTTCGCTCAATTTATTTTGTCTATAATTAAATTTTACTTGCTACAAAGTATCTTTCAAACCGAAAGACATGCTCCGACAAATAGAACATTTCCAAATATACGCCCGTCCTTGGTTAATACAACGGTGATATCAGTTTATCAGTTTACTAAGTTTTTAAACTTAGTTTAGTGTTCAATACGTACTATAATTGGTTTTGAATTTTACATTCTATATATTATAAGGAAGGGACATAATTTCCGATGACAAAGCAATCATATTGTCATGCATGACATTGTACTGTAAAATACAATGCTGTAGCTGATTAGAATCTTGAGATCGTTTAATTTTCATAAACTCATTAATGTTGTTTGTAGGAATTATTCAAATGTACAATAGAAAAGAATAGAATAATAAGAATAGAATAAGAATAGAAATAAACAGGGTAGCGGCTCCTAACAGAGCGGAGCACCACAACATAGTTGATCTTTTGTGCTGCTACAGATCCTAATCTAATAGAAGACATGCATGTCAGCCGTTGAGGACCTCTTACTGTTAGAATGGGAAAGTAATTTTGAACCCACTGACGTCCTGGTCACACATCAAGGCTGAATAGTCACAGAGAATGTGACTGGAAGTCTAGTCTGCTTGTAAACAGTGTCGACAATCTATCTTTTCGAACAGACCCATTTTGTTAAGGTGATAAAACAGTCCATGATAACCCGTTAAATAGCAGTGATGAATAATAAGGATGAATTATAATAAATTAGTTATATATAAACTCTAAAAGACAGATGTGAATAGTTATACAATCTGTATAGATACATATTATCTTCGAGAATGCAAAACATTTTTTTACTTTACTGGCTTCAAACGATTTTTGATGTACTATGTTTAGTTACTGAAAGCCGTTTATATTATTTGAGAATTATTTCTTTTACTCCTGTAATGAAGTCCCATTACGTATTGCAATATAGTCAGTTATCAACTTTTAAGGTAATTGTGATTGTAAATAAATTAAACGGTCATAGATCTATTGATAGCTAAATATGTATCAGCGAAGCTAATTTTGAATATTCAAATTTTTTTCTGTTTTTGTTTCTTATTTCGAAGTAGAGTTTCTTTAAACTAAAAAAAATAAAAAACATCGTTGTAAATGTTATTAACTGTCAAATAATCGAATCGAATTCCTTTTGAATACTAGTAGGCATCTTTTAAATTCTTACTAACCATACTCTATGCTGCTTCCTCACTTTTTAATCGTTTCCTTAATGTCTGCTTAGCTGACATTAAGGAAACAATGTCCACCAAGATTATGAGCAAACTAAAGAGTTATTGAAATTAGTGTTGTGTTTGCAGTACCATTTCCATTAAGCACACTTTCTGACCAACCTTTTTACAACACCTGACTATAATGTATTAGTTTGATTCAAAAACTGTATGGTAATTTATTCGACTCAAGTCGAAAAGTTCCTTGATAGCTTATATAGTGTATTATCGACATCCTTCATCTACTTTTATTGAAAAATTTTTGGAAGTCAAAATAATTTATTACTATAGTTTTAATTTTGATATTTGATATTATTATATGATTTTGTGATATACTACATGGTATTTTAGGAGTCACGTTCTGTAATCCATATTAAATTGGAAATTATGACTTGTTCAATAATAATAAGCAGTAAAAGATGAACCAACTTTTTTCATATATTTTACAAGTTCTGGAATAAATAAATCATTGAAAAATATAGTAATTTTTTTATTAGCTAGACAAGACGTTCTATAGTATTGGTACCTATTAGGGTCCATAGATGCAAATTTTATTTATTATAGGTCACGTTAATATTATTGCATAATAAAAATGTTATCCGGTTGCAAAAACCACCATAAAGCTACAGTCGCTGACTTCTGCATGCCATATAACATAGTTGACTGCAGCAGACAACAAGTACATAATGAATGGGCATAGCAAATTTAATATATTTTTGGTCATGATCAAAAAACATTTTATACAGGGTGCCATATCAAAATTTGTAATTTAGTACTTATACTTTAATATTATTTTGGTACATTTTTTTTCCTGAATTTAAAAGTTAATATTTTTCTCGCATTTCAACATAAAAATACATATATTTCTAATATTTGTTACTGAGCAACACTATTTTGACAAGGCTTTTTGTGCCTCGTCACGTGACCAAATTATAATCGAAATTTTCTACATATGTACCTATATCTATATTTTTAATTTATATTAAAAACCATATCAGTTTCAGATATTACGTTCCTAAAATTGCCTAATCCTTGTGTAAATGCAATGCATATAAATTTTGAATAATACATAATACATGTGTATTCAAGTTATCATTGACATTATTGAAATTTTTAATATTTAATATTCCCTAAAAGATAATTTTATGTAGTTAAAAACTATCTTAACATATCGCTGCTCTAAAATATTAATTTGAAATTAAAAATTTAAATAAATTTATTGTTTGTTTTGCAGAATGCCGTTCAAAGTAATTGTACGTAACACATTATGGTTCATCTGGGTAATCGCGAAGAAAACAGTGTATTATGGTTGGACCCCACTATTTTACTATTTGGCATACAGAAAGTATAATGGACATCCTCCACCTGCCTGTTTGGAAGTTTTTGTGCCTAAACTTTCCCTAAGTTAATGGATGTTATACTATTTAGCGATAGGATGCATCACATTAAGTATTTGTTAAGGAATTTGAAGCGTTTACGTCAACGGTGCAATACAACTACATATATTAATTGGCGATTTTACATGGAATGTATTTATGTATATAAAATACTATTTTTGTAAATAAATACGCACAAAAATATTATAACAAAGTAAAAAAATCAATAATAAAAATATTATCACATATACAAGTAAAACAATTATTCAACAATTAAAACGTCCTTCTTGTAAAGTTAATAAGCTCAATAAGTGAAGAATGCATATGAAGCCCGTAATTAGAGAGATATTACATGAGTTGGAGATAAAATGCCCTCCCCATGTATAAAGTTAACTGTATGACTTTCAAAATTACTGCACACAGTGTTCTTTAGTATATGGATAAATAAAGAAAACAAAAAAATTTAGTTACGATATTAAAGATTTGAGAATTCCAAATATGTTCAAAGTATTAAGGAATATATATAAGTTAACACCCGCGACCTCTCTCTCATTAACGACATAATCATACGATATTATTCGATCGCCTAACTGCTACCAAATGGGAAATCAACTTGTTTGTAGTCCCATTTGACCTTCATAGCTCTCAACGTGGCGATCGAAGCTGGTTCACTTTTACTTGGGTTAAAAAGATATTTAATTTATATACTATTCGAATTATGAACCACGACCCTCAGATATTCAATCTGTTACGGTTAAAAATGAAAAACAATGAGAACAGTTAATCAATTGATTCAATGACTGCTTTTATGTTCGCTGACTTCAGGGGTCTTCAGTTCTTCAAAACCTAGTTAATTAGCTGATATGAATTACGATACGCAAAACTGTTAAAAACTATATAATAATTACATAAACTTCACACCTGAAGTGTGTATTGTATATTCAAAAACTATATAATATCATAATTACATAGACTTCATACCTGAAGTGTGTATTATATACTTAAAGTTCTCCAAATTATATAAAATAAATATAATGGAACAGTAACGATAGAAATAATATGTAAATGTGAACTGAATTCGAATGTAACACTGCATTTTCGTGTACTTTGATACTTGAATCAATAAGATTATAATTTACACCAGTTGAACTAGTTATATTGTTAAGACTTATCTGAACTACACTAGATAACACCAGTTCATAAGAAATAGTGCAAGGTAAAACATCATTCACATTCCACATTTCATTAGACTTCAACAAAGTAAATATCTCACATTTTCAATACTAATCAATTTAGTATTGTACTGTGGTATAAAAAAATGACTACTAGGGAGAGGAAATTTTACAATTAGCAGTAATTAAAACAATTGCGGTATAAAAATGGTCTCATACTGTGTGGCTTTATATCAATAAAGAGCCTTTAAAGCATATATCGCATTGACACCGTCAATTCCACATAATCGAAAAGAGTCATTTGTATTAAAGAATGGGAGAATGTGAAAAAAAAATTACTTATCAGTAAATATTAACTTATACTTCAAAAATTGCATTGCGTGAAAAACTAGAGAGCACTTAATGTTTTTCCGAGCAGCTTGAATCGTTTGAACGGCCAGCTACAGAATATAGTGAGCTGAATGTTCCGGAACGATTATACCATTGTTCATTAATTTTATTTACTAGCTTGAAGAGCTTCTTAGCCAGGAACATAGGGGATCTTTGCAATTTTATTTTGAATTGATTACATTATTAGTATGAAATTGTTGAGAATATGTTAGTAGATAAAATATTAGAAGTATAATTTTAAATCAATCATTTACCTATCAACAACAAACATTTATCCTAATGTTTATGCGGTAGCGAGCAACATTGTTTTTAATTTCAATAGTGTTTTTAATTTCATTTTATTTAAATAAATTAATTAAATTAAAATACAGTCAATATATGGCCGCATTTTTAGGTCTTGCGCCTTAAAATGAAAACTCAGTACTTAATGAATGAAAATAATTTTATTATTTTTTGAAGTATTCTCCATAATCAATACATTATTGCATATTGCATTATACATTATTGAATCAATTTTCGCATTTTCGCAATTCGAAATTTCGAAGTTGGCCTCTTCAAGTTGGTATCTTTAAAACCAGGGTTTTGAATATCTCAACATCCTGTTCAAGCATAGAAAAATGCTCAACACGAATATTTTTCTTAATATTTGGTACCAGGAAGAAGTCATTGAGTGCCAACTTGGAACTATAAGGTGAATAACTCATCAATTCGACATTTTAAATGCTCAAAAACTGTTTCGTTTAAGCTAATGTGTGGGAGGACGTATTGTCATAATGGAAGATGGTCCTCCTTCGTGTGTTGGTTTTTCTCAATTCTCAGAAGACTTCCAGCAATCAAATGATTGTGTACCAATCAAAATTGACAGTTCTACGTTGTTCAAGTAGTACAGTTGTGACATGACTGGTTTTTCTAAAAAGAACTAGGCCACTTGCTACGTACAACTTTTGTCGGGTTCTGAAGACTCAAGCAGTAAATTGCTGTTTTGTTTTTGGCTCAAAGGTGTAGATCCACAACCTGTCATGATGTTCTCAAACTTTCTAACAGTAATATCAAAATTTTTCTGGCAATACTTAGTGTTAACTAGGCACAATACTTAAAAGGCAATCAACGTATACCCTCCTCTCTAAGTCACACCTATGAAAGTTGGGGTCATGTTTTTTTAACCTTATTTCCTGTTATTTACTATGAGTAAGTAATATAAAAAATAAAATCATGTTATATATGTATTTATTTATGTATTTTTTGTTTAAATAAAATTGTTGCTGTTTACTTTAAGTTCTTATATACGGTATTTATAGTTGATTGCTGATTCCCCAAAACCCATTACTCATTACCGGTAAAAGTGATTGCACGCGCAATAATTTCACATTTTCTCACAATGTTTTTATTGTTGAGGCATATGCAAAATGTCAAGAGATGACAGTAGAAAGTCAAAATTTTTTTCGGGTGGGCACTTGAAGGCGTCAGCACCAATATTTGCTGCAGTGGCAGAAACACGAGTAACAGAAGCAGCGCCGCATGCGGATGCCCCGTCGTCAGACCCCGTTATGCGACATTGAGCGGTAGTTTTGATCTTCCACTGACATATATGTCTAGGCCGAAATGAATTACTTGTATGTTTGTTTGTGTGCTGCTGTATCTACAGAAGTTTACTGACGCTATCGCCTTATATTTGTTTACAAACTGGAGCGCGTGTGCAGGTTAATTGTATTTATTTACTTTAAAGATTGTATTTTCTCTTTTTTTTTGTGGTTGGTTTTCGAAGCTTTTTAATTCATAAAGTACGCATACGTCACTAAAAGCATAAAAATTTCTAGTGTCGTCAATGAATGGCAATATTTAGTAGAAATTAGTTCAAGTATATTTTTACGTATGTACGTATCTCTGACTATTTATCGGTTTATCTGTCATACTGTCGGTAAGTTTCTCAAATAGATCCGCACTTATCATATGAATACGAAACTTCGATCGTACATCTTTTGTGTACTTTTCATGGATTTTTCTTTTTTTTTCTTTTTTTGTTTTTTGTTTATTAACATGGCTTTTTATTTGTTGTGGTTAAATGTGTGATTTATCCGAAATTGGTAATTCACAGAATTGTGTTTGCATTGTTAAAAATAAATTCAATTGAGAAATTGTCTAAAGAAGGAAAGAGTCGATAGTATTGAAGAGACTAGTCAAATGATTTTTTTTATTTAATGTATTCGTGGTTGAACATTTTTAGTTGAATATCATTTGCAATTTTTCAATGAAGAATTGTTAGGTAGATATTTTAATCTTTTATGAACTAAAATAGAATTGCTTTTATTTTATTTTATTTTATTTTACTTTTTTATATATTTTTACCATTTACTTAAAGACACTTTTTATATTGCGAAGGCACGTGCCGTAAACAAACAATTTGTTGACCTCAAGTAAATATCTGGTATTATCATTATCTTCTTTACAATCAGCCACAAAAGCAGTATTATTGTATGATCATCATGACTTTATTAACAAGATGTGTTGACCACATTTTCAATTTTTTTTTTCTTTTTGATATTTTGTTAGCAGTGTTTTTTTTGCGCCTTTTGGTATCGTTGGTATTTTAACTTAATTTTATTTATTTATTTAATTTATTGCTATTTTAAATCGGTTTTTAGTAGTTATTTCAGACAATGACCATATCTGCTTTCAAAAATTAAGTTTTATTTTTGCTTTCGCATGTCTTATGATTTGAGCTGATAGCAAAGTAAAATATTATCGTCAGTGCCGTCTTATCGATTGCCCCCACGTAGCAGTTATTTCTAAAATAGATATAGATACATTCGCAGAGTAATAAATGTAAATAATGCATTGTTGTGCTGGCGAGTAGATTGTACTCGTTCGTATCCATAATTTATTTGCATATCGTGTCAGTACAAAGCCTTTGTGCCATCATACCGACAAATTGCATTTTGACACAGCAAACAAGTGAACCACATTTCCACACAACGCAAAACATATTTGATGACAATAAAAATAGTAACAAATTGGCTATAAATAGATACTTATGTATATGGCGTCGAACTTGTACATTGTAGATAGATATTTGCCATTCATAAGTACTTACGTACGTGTTCGTTTGAAATGCGAAAAAATTGTTATCAATTTAGTTAACTTCCGCTAAATTTTTTATTTTTGAACAGTAAATTTTTTTACTATATTTTTGTTACGCTTTTATTTTAGTTTATTGCGTCAAAAGCAAAATTCTGGGAAATTTATCTGAAATAACAGCAGCAATAAAGACAAAAGCCGCAAAATACAATGAAATAACATTAAATATTTTTAGGACAAAAACTCATTATAGTTCATTACACATTAATATTAAAATTTTAAAAAATTGTTATATGATTTATTTATAATTTTTATGTAAATTTAATTTATTTTAAGATACTTTATTTCTTGCAACAGATATTTCTTGACGTCAATGTGTTATTTAACATTGTTACGGATATCTACTGAGAGTACATGATATGAAAGTTTGCACTTTCATATAGATTTGTATAATTTCAACAAAAGCTGAAGTATGGAATATATTAAGCAAAGACTTCAATATTAATAATATTTAAGTTACAAATTACAAATATAGAGAAAATTTAACACAAATTCACTTATTTGTACCT